ATTGTTGGCTCGGATGAAAGTGCGCGAGGGGTCTTACTGTGGGAGGAAACCGGAGTACCCGGGGAAAAGCCACTTGGTCGGGCAGATGACCCCATACCTTTTCACATCAATTCTGGGAATCGAGCCCCCGACGGCTTGTTGAAAGGCGAGTGCGTTACCACTACGCCATCCGACCACCCTGAACCGTAATATTGCCATTCAGCTAATTAGTCTCCTACTTAAGATAAACTTATTAGATATTTTTTAAACGTTATATTGTATATTGAAATAAATTAATATTCGTTTTTTTTTCTAATGAAATTCTCGTCATTAAAAAAAGATAATTGATTTACTTGATTTCAGTGACATCATTAGTTTAGTGGGGGAAGTTGTACTAAGAAAGAGAAAAAAAACAGCGACGACCAACTTATGACATGGAGAAGAAACAAAAAAATAGTTGGAATGCAACCCCGCTTACCAAAGGGTACAATCCAGTAAGATCCTCTTCATCTTCTCGTGTGTAAAGGAGAATCGTATTGAACACTTTTGTTTAGGAAAGATAATTAGATTGTATGTAATACATTGTGATGTCGTAGAGTTGTTTGGATCAGATTTTAAAGCGGTTTCAAAAGTGTGTGTAAATAGAAAAGATCACAAAGTATGCCGACATCATGTTGAATCAAAATATCAAAAAGACTCTTTAAGGTCAGCATATGTCAAGCTGATATGTACTACAAATAATGTTGAACCAGTCGAGATTAACACTTAAGATGTTTATTTAAGGAATGATACGTATCAATTCAATTTTCCATGTCACTGAAATGTGTATGTAGTGATGTGGGAGTTACTTCCCCTTATTAAACCTGGCATCCGTTTGCTTGACGCACTCGTCAGTTGCCTTCTGTCCCAGAACTAAACTAGCCCCAGTCTATAACATGGTTTTCTTTGTGGTCTCAGTCTGTTATAGTACTCTGGTACATTACTCTGTGTAATGCCAATAGTCTCCATTCTGAACTCGGGACCTAGCCCGTTTCGCCAGTGTATACTTGGTGGCATATTATCACGCCCCTGGTATACTAAATTACAGTTATTAATTTCAAACTTGTACAAACAGTTACAAGAATGTTCCTGGTGGTCTAGATACGCTATATATAGATATAGAGATGTTTTATAGTCCCTAATATTCAATTGACGTACATGTATGTGACATATCTGCGCTGCCCCTGGTCTTCGTATCTGTCTGTTGTTTATTTTTTTCTCTTTAGTCGCCAGTTTTTTCTTGATATTGTCTTTCATGTTCTTGGTGGTCCATGCAGGGCACTACATATTTCAGCACTATTGCGGCCTCGTTGATCTCTTCCTGTTCTGTGAACAAACTGTTACATCAGACAGTGTCCTTATTACGATTACCAACTTAAGATGTATAGGGTGGTGGGATGTGAATTGGGCATGTAAACTGTATATTACAAACTTGATGTATCTATCTGATATTTTCTCTCATTTGGAGTCTAAAATTGGTACAGGTAGTCGTTTCCTCCTCGTGGATAAATTTGATACTGTTGGTGTTGTAAAGTGTTAAGAAATTGAGTCAAGTCTCCCAAACCTCATTTCTTTATCACCTCCAGAACAGAATCCACATACTGTTTCCATAGTGACCAGTACATGTGACAGAGGTTGTGACAATTATAGATTGGCCAATAAAGGGGACATGGGGCTACCCATGATTGTACCGAATTTCTGTTGGCAAATCCATCCTCTGAGAGAGAATTATACATGTTCTCATCTGTTGGTAAATCTGTCCTCTGAGAGAGAATTATACATGTCTCATCTGTTGATAAATCTGTCCTCTGAGAGAGAATTATACATGTTCTCATCTGTTGGTAAATCTGTCCTCTGAGAGAGAATTATACATGTTCTCATCTGTTGATAAATCTGTCCTCTGAGAGAGAATTATACATGTTCTCATCTGTTGGTAAATCTGTCCTCTGAGAGAGAATTATACATGTTCTCATCTGTTGGTAAATCTGTCCTCTGAGAGAGAATTATACATGTTCTCATCTGTTGGTAAATCTGTCCTCTGAGAGAGAATTATACATGTTCTCATCTGTTGATAAATCTGTCCTCTGAGAGAGAATTATACATGTTCTCATCTGTTGGTAAATCTGTCCTCTGAGAGAGAATTATACATGTTCTCATCTGTTGATAAATCTGTCCTCTGAAAGAGAATTATACATGTTCTCATCTGTTGATAAATCTGTCCTCTGAGAGAGAATTATACATGTTCTCATCTGTTGGTAAATCTGTCCTCTGAGAGAGAATTATACATGTTCTCATCTGTTGGTAAATCTGTCCTCTGAAAGAGAATTATACATGTTCTCATCTGTTGATAAATCTGTCCTCTGAGAGAGAATTATACATGTTCTCATCTGTTGGTAAATCTGTCCTCTGAGAGAGAATTATACATGTTCTCATCTGTTGGTAAATCTGTCCTCTGAAAGAGAATTATACATGTTCTCATCTGTTGGTAAATCTGTCCTCTGAGAGAGAATTATACATGTTCTCATCTGTTGGTAAATCTGTCCTCTGAAAGAGAATTATACATGTTCTCATCTGTTGGTAAATCTGTCCTCTGAAAGAGAATTATACATGTTCTCATCTGTTGGTAAATCTGTCCTCTGAGAGAGAATTATACATGTTCTCATCTGTTGGTAAATCTGTCCTCTGAAAGAGAATTATACATGTTCTCATCTGTTGGTAAATCTGTCCTCTGAGAGAGAATTATACATGTTCTCATCTGTTGGTAAATCTGTCCTCTGAAAGAGAATTATACATGTTCTCATCTGTTGGTAAATCTGTCCTCTGAAAGAGAATTATACATGTTCTCATCTGTTGGTAAATCTGTCCTCTGAAAGAGAATTATACATGTTCTCATCTGTTGGTAAATCTGTCCTCTGAAAGAGAATTATACATGTTCTCATCTGTTGATAAATCTGTCCTCTGAGAGAGAATTATACATGTTCTCATCTGTTGGTAAATCTGTCCTCTGAGAGAGAATTATACATGTTCTCATCTGTTGATAAATCTGTCCTCTGAAAGAGAATTATACATGTTCTCATCTGTTGGTAAATCTGTCCTCTGAAAGAGAATTATACATGTTCTCATCTGTTGGTAAGAGAGAGAATTATACATGTTCTCATCTGTTGGTAAATCTGTCCTCTGAAAGAGAATTATACATGTTCTCATCTGTTGGTAAATCTGTCCTCTGAGAGAGAATTATACATGTTCTCATCTGTTGATAAATCCATCCTCTGAGAGAGAATTATACATGTTCTCATCTGTTGATAAATCTGTTCTCTGAGAGAGAATTATACATGTTCTCATCTGTTGGTAAATCTGTCCTCTGAGAGAGAATTATACATGTTCTCATCTGTTGGTAAATCTGTCCTCTGAAAGAGAATTATACATGTTCTCATCTGTTGATAAATCTGTCCTCTGAGAGAGAATTATACATGTTCTCATCTGTTGGTAAATCTGTCCTCTGAGAGAGAATTATACATGTTCTCATCTGTTGGTAAATCTGTCCTCTGAAAGAGAATTATACATGTTCTCATCTGTTGGTAAATCTGTCCTCTGAGAGAGAATTATACATGTTCTCATCTGTTGGTAGAAAGAGAATTATACATGTTCTCATCTGTTGGTAAATCTGTCCTCTGAGAGAGAATTATACATGTTCTCATCTGTTGGTAAATCTGTCCTCTGAGAGAGAATTATACATGTTCTCATCTGTTGGTAAATCTGTCCTCTGAAAGAGAATTATACATGTTCTCATCTGTTGGTAAATCTGTCCTCTGAGAGAATTATACATGTTCTCATCTGTTGGTAAATCTGTCCTCTGAAAGAGAATTATACATGTTCTCATCTGTTGGTAAATCTGTCCTCTGAAAGAGAATTATACATGTTCTCATCTGTTGGTAAATCTGTCCTCTGAAAGAGAATTATACATGTTCTCATCTGTTGGTAAATCTGTCCTCTGAGAGAGAATTATACATGTTCTCATCTGTTGATAAATCCATCCTCTGAGAGAGAATTATACATGTTCTCATCTGTTGATAAATCTGTTCTCTGAGAGAGAATTATACATGTTCTCATCTGTTGGTAAATCTGTCCTCTGAGAGAGAATTATACATGTTCTCATCTGTTGGTAAATCTGTCCTCTGAGAGAGAATTATACATGTTCTCATCTGTTGATAAATCTGTCCTCTGAAAGAGAATTATACATGTTCTCATCTGTTGGTAAATCTGTCCTCTGAAAGAGAATTATACATGTTCTCATCTGTTGGTAAATCTGTCCTCTGAGAGAGAATTATACATGTTCTCATCTGTTGGTAAATCTGTCCTCTGAGAGAGAATTATACATGTTCTCATCTGTTGGTAAATCTGTCCTCTGAAAGAGAATTATACATGTTCTCATCTGTTGGTAAATCTGTCCTCTGAGAGAGAATTATACATGTTCTCATCTATATGTCTTTGTAAGTCTATTCCTGATGATCTGAATATGTCCTTCAAAGAGGGAGATAGTAAATAGAGACACTACAGCATGTTAAGTAAACATGTCATCTGGAATAAGTTTTTCAAATGGTGTTTAAACTACATTTGGTATATAATTCATATTCCTGGCATATCTTTAAAACATATACTTCAATATTTTTTCTATTTCTAATGCCACTGTTCTCACTTAAAGAAAACAGCCAGACAACTGCCATTCATCAACTCTGATCTGACTAATTTATATGAATACTCATACCTGGTTGATTTATATAACAAAAGGTGACTAGTATACTTTCTAAGATCAGATGTCTGCTCTGAATCCCACAAGTGAAAACAGACTGCACAAAAGTTTTATTCCTTTTTTATAGATTCCTCTCTGCAAATGTAGATCACTCTAAAATCATTTGCCTGGTTTTTACACAGAATGGGAGATCTGATCAATATTTCATACAAATTATGGTCACAGGTTCTAATTCACACTTTCAAAATCATTTATTTCCGCATTCATAAAAAGTACAATGAACTCATTCAGAAATTAGAAAGAGTACCATTGTAGTAACAAAAATAGTTGACATAAGTCAAGTCAGATGGTTCCTTTAACTGTTCCCTGTAATGTGGCATTGTAACAGTACCCACTCACCAATGAAACACTTTAAATACCAAACACTGGACAGTGTGAACAGGTCTAAATCACCCAAATCACAATTTGACATTTCATTTAGTTTGATATTACTACTGTCACTAATATCTTTTAAGCCAACATATATGTATATGTTTTAGGCATTCTGATGTGTTTTAATGTTCTGTCATATCCTGGCCAGTTTTCACATGATGTTTCATTCCTCTACCATCTCTCCTCCAGACTCTGCCATTCCTTCTTCGTTAGCAGCTTTTTCTTGCATTCTTCTCTCGTTTACCATACGGTGCTTCTGCTTCATGTAAGCATTCACCACATCATAATATACAGGTAAGTGTCCATCTGTGAACAAAATACACAGGTGAGTTTATATCTGTCAACAAAATACACAGGTAAGTGTCCATCTGTCAACAAAATACCCAGGTAAGTGTCCATCTGTCGACAAAATACACAGGTAAGTTTTTATCTGTCAACAAAAAATACAGGTAAGTGTTTATCTGTCAACGAAATACACAGGTAAGTGTCCATCTGTCAACAAAATAAACAGGTATGTGTTTATCTGTCAACAAAATACACAGGTAAGTGTCCATCTGTCAACAAAATATACAGGTAAGTGTTTATCTGTCAACATAATACACAAGTAAATAAGCATAGATCTGTCAACATAATACACAAGTTCATGCTCATATGCCAACTTAATATACAGACAAGTGTTCCGCTACCAAGATTATACACAGGTAAGAGTCATTCTGTCAACATAATACACAGAAAGTATAAATAGATGTCAACAATACAAAGGTAAATGTATATTTGTCAATAAAATACAAAGGAGAGTGTAAATCTGTCAACAAAATACAAAGACAAGTGTTCATTTGTCAACATAATACAAAGGAGAATAAATCTGTTGACATTATACACGGGTATTTGCAAGTTTTTGTCAATATATGCTGTAGCTGAACACTGGACACCTCATACAAATAATGTTTATAAACAACGTAATCTGTTTTGACAGACTATTGCACTGGTACCAACAAAATACTGAAAGTGGCCATACCAGGAACTTACAGCTGCATCACTACAAATAGAATCTCATCGTTTGGTGTACTTACATTTTATCATCCAGTCATCTCTAGCTTTGTGAAATGTTTCCTTCACCTCTTTACATGTTGTATCTCTGTTGTAGAGGTCAGATAGTGCACATCGTAGATATCTTTTCCTTAAAATATAAACTATGTCACTGTCCACTTGTCTGAAAAGAAAAATTGCAGCCCCATGAAAAAATAAAATCTCAGGTAAACCTGTAACAAGTCAAGGATGATAAATCATATAAACTAGAAATGTACTGATTAATCAATTTCATCACTGTTTTTTATGTTTCCAATCAATTGACCACTCAGGAGAAAATTTGAAGTAATTCTTTCCCTCAGAAGGTGGGATATTCAAATTGCCCTTTGACCATGATCCGTCCATCCATCAGTAAACATTCTTTGTGATCACTATTTCTTGGAAAGTACTTAAAGGATCTTTCTCTCATTTCGAATATATCAATTTTTCTTGGTCCCTACTTGTGCCTGTGATTTTTGGACAGATCAGAAAATGGCCAACAGACGGCCATCTTGGATTGTAACAAAGAAAGCTTGTTTTCACTATTACTTGATGATTCTTTCTCAAATTTCTGTCCTTTTTTGGGAAGAAGAAATATCCTGATAAAAGCGAGAAAATATCAAAATCCCAAGTTAAGCCACCTTGTGCTTGTCACTACACTCAATGTTTTCAAATCATGTTATGAGTGGATTAACTGCAAATGCTACATCTTTTGTCATTCTTACTTGTCTCTTTTGAACTGTTGATTTGCTTCAAATCTGCACAATTCATCATCAGTGTAGCACTCATCGATGGTAGGAACTCTGTTGAACCTTCGGTGATAGTAAGGAACAGTCTTCTTTTCTCCACGAAATGTGTCTACCGTACCTAACAAAATATTATCAATAATTAGATAAAATGATTTTACGCAAATATTGACTATATAGTTCAAGTAAATATGACATTACTGCAAATTTTCTAAATTGTTGTGGAGTTAATCAACTCTAGACTGCCATAAAAAGTTGATAAAAAATGACAGAATGATTCAGACTATTGACAAGGATGCATTAATATTCAAATAGTCAAGTTAAACAAAACAGGTAAGTTAATATTTTTTTGGGGGGTTTACTGATTTGTGTATAAAGTTTCTAAATATGTTTTGAAAATACATCCCATGAGATAAATCATAGCCTCAGAAATGTAATGAAAAGATAGGTCCATTCTCAAAATCCAAGAATGTTCTCAACCTGTATAACATCCTTGGATATTTGAGGACGCAAGTTCAACACATCTTCTCATACAGAAGATGTTTTTTTTCCTTTTAATTCAGTAACATTTGTTTACAGGTAGGACTTAATTGCTTTTTAAATGCAACTGGAAAATATTGCATTTTTCATTCACTCTCAACGTTGTTTATATGATGGTCTATATTTGCATACAAAATAAGTAGTCTACTTTTTTGCTCAAATTAATCAACCAAACCACTACTAGATAATGGTCATGAGTAGGTCATAAGTTCTAAAATTCGATTCCCTTGTTTGTGCATAATATTAATGTGGTTGTTCATTTAGTTATACTTTGCATTGTATGGTTTATTTTAATAGTAAACAAAATGACAACATATATTGGATGTTTTCGGGTTTTTTTTTGCGGTTATTTTTAATATTTTATTTATGGCTTACCTGTACACCAATGTTCAGAGGATAAAGATCCGCTGTAATGAGAGGATGCGCTAGATTTCACTGAATCCTCGCAAATCTAAGTAAATGCATCCTCTTATTACAGAGAAATATTCGATATTTTATCAATCAATCGAAGTTTTAATATGAATTAATATTGAAAACTCTGGATCGTGATCATGATCTAATGTCTCCATCTGAAAAGAAGTATATAAAAAATCTATAGATCTATAAACATAAGCATAAGACGTTACCTTTTATGAAAGTAGAGGGTACATCTAACAGGAGAGAGAATACAGCCCTTGCATATTGCGAGTACACCGACAACTTTCCGTCGTCGCCCGACATTGTGGATAAAATGACCTACCGGAAATGGGTTCGTGAAAGTGGCTACGACAACAGTATGACTATCCGTGGACGTAGCAAAAAATCCAACATGCATTTCAACAATTTTGAAAGTAGATGTTTATATATAAACTGTAACATCTGTCTCATAAATACTTATGTGACACGAATTAAGATGTCGTTAAAGGCGATAAAGGTCGAAGGTTAGGAAACCGATTTTCGGCTCTTCCTTTTTGAGTCGACGGCCATCATGGTAAGATGAAGTGCTGGCTTCAATTAATTGAATCCGCCGTAATCTGCCTATAAATGATACAAAATCTAAAGTGAAACTCAGATGTAATTACTTACGTAGTTAATATATAACTTATTGTTGTCTTTTTTTTAAATAAATGATCGATTATACAGTTTTATTTCTTTTCAATTGACGTGCATGATGCACGCTTTGGGACTCCATATCCACGGACATAGGTCGTATACGTCCCGGTTTCATCCTTAGTTCCTTCTGGACCTATAGTAATAGGAGTCGTCGGACACTTATTCAGAAGAAAAATAGCCCCAACTTCCCAGTCCAGTGTTACAGCTAGAGCTTGCGAGTGTTAATTGCATAATATAGATTACCTGATCAGTGTTGGAACGCTTAATTTTTTTTTTTTCACGGTTTGAAATCTCGTTCCACAAATGATCGATTTGTACACTTATGATGTATGGTTTGTAGGCAGTTCCCTTCCTATAATAGAGACCGTGATAATCTGAATTCAAGCATACGATTTTGCAACCATCCCTTGTTTTGGTAAATTCAAAATATCTTTAAAAAGATGAAGTCTACTAGGTCGACATGCTTATTAATGCATAAACTATGTATATTATATATATCTATCCCGTTTATTTAGATAATTTGTATTTCCTTCTTAATGGTGACTCTTTTGTCACTGATTAACATCTATCCTAACGGATAGAAAATAAAAGCAATTATTAACAGCAAGTTAACAGAACAATTTACATACCTTTTTCCTTGCTTTACAAGGAAACTTGTGTGTACTGTTCTTGGTTGCTTATTTCTATTTGTTTTAGAGACTTTAGTTATATTGTGTTAGATTTCTTTCATCCTCTCCAGTATAAAACATTGATAAGGTTAATGACTAGAAACTGTTTAAACAGCAAGGAGAAGATACAGTGTCGATTTACAATAGGAAATGGACCAGTATACCAGACTCCATAAATGCCTTGCAAAAACTCTTATGTTGCTACTAAAAATTGAATTCTTTCCCTTTATTTTCTTCAGTCGCACAGGAAATTTTCTGCACCCCGTCACGGGTCGAAGGGCTTTTTGCCAAAGAAGAGGGCCAGTCGTCATAGGGGCAAAGTAAAGGCTTTCCCTAAAGATGACAAGAATAAGCCTGTCCATTTGACAGCTTTTATTGGATACAAGGCTGGCATGACCCACATTGTCCGTGATGTAGATCGACCTGGGTCCAGTATGTATAAATGCCATATTTCTGAAATGCATCCGAGGTCTGAATTGACCAGAATTTTGTAATTGTTGGGATAATGTTTTGCAATATTTAACCGATCAAAACTTTTATAATAACCACTATTTCATAGTTATCATGTAGCCAATGATCTGACTGGTTATTGAAACGCATCCTAGAAAATCGAATTTGTGTGATCACATACATTGGAAGATATAAACACCTGAAAATTGTCAAGTGTTTAGTATTGTAAATGCATAGTTTTAAGACAATGTTGTTGATTTTCCATCATCAGAGGTAAACATGAGTGGTAATTATGTTTGGAATATACCCTGGTCATCATGCCTATTTTCTTGCATTGTAGAATCTAACAAGAAGGAAATTGTGGAGGCAGTCACCATCATAGAGACACCACCTATGGTCATTGTCGGTTTGGTAGGGTACATTGAAACACCCAGTGGCCTGAGATCATTCAAGACCATCTTTGCTGAGCATTTGAATGAGGACTGTAGGAGACGATTTTACAAAAACTGGTATGATGTGGATAATGCAATATAATTCATAAAATTATGCAAACTTTATCTTGGCTCCAACCTTCCTTTGTATTGTTATGCCAACAAAGTGGCTGTAATTCATGAAAAAAATGCAATGGTTCTGGTTTATTGAGGATGGGGTAGGCATTAAGATTGTTTTAAATTTATGATTCATTCATATGTTGTCATTTAACATAGCTCCTCTAAAAGTTGCAATACTAATGTGCTTTAATAGATTTTCAAAGACATATAACAGTTAACTGCACTACTTTATGAAATAGAGTTCATGATAAATGAAAGGGGTAAATTTGTGACAAATTTACAATTAAGAATAAAATATATCATATTTGATTGTTGTGATAACATTTTGTATTCAACTGAGATCTTGAAGATACTGAATGGTACCATAGCCTGACTAATGATGGCATCATTCCAGCTCCTACCATAGGCACATGGTGAGCTGTGGTACTCCTCTTGACCTGTGTCCTGCTGTTGCATAATTCTGTACATGCGAAACTGTAATGGTTTTGAACTGCAGTGCAGAGTTTGCAAGCTTTGATCATTGGTTAACGAGTCCACATGTAATGTTGTGGTTATCCTCCACTGGTCTCTCCGACTATGAGGCTTATCACATGCTTCTTGATACAAAAGGTACAACTGCAAAAAGAAGGCTTTTACCAAGTATGCCAAAAAGTGGACTGATGAGACAGGAAAGAAGGAGATTGAGCGGGACTTCCAAAAGATGAAGAAGTACTGCAAGGTCATCCGTGTCATTGCTCATACCCAGGTAGAGTATTTGATATTTTACCAAAATTGTTTGATAGATCACGATTTTCTCCATTCAAGGAAAATGGAATTGTGTTTTATAAGATTCAAAAAGGTGCATTTTCATCCTTTGAAGGATTTTCCAAACCTAGAGAAGCAGTCTATTTGGACTTTATTCTGCTCTTTTTTATGTCTAGTTGATTATGTAACCATTTATCCCCAGGGTTTTCCATAATTAGGTCATCTGACCCGAAGGGTCCGATGACCTATAGTCATCATGCTTCGTCCGTCGTCGTCCGCCGTGCGCCGTCCGTAAACTTTTCATTCAAACGACTTCTTCTCAAATACTAGAAGGTCTAGGGGGCTAATACTTGGCACAGAGGATACTGGCATGGAGCTCTACCAAGTTTGTTCAAATGAATGACCTTGACCCACTTTAAAGGTCACAGGGGTCAAATATGTTAAAATCTTTAAACAACTTCTTCTCATTAACCAAAAGGCTCAGAGTGTAGATATTGGGCCTGTGACATGCTGGGATGAAGGACTACCAAGTTTGTTCAAATGAATGACCTTGACCCACTTTAAAGGTCACAGGGGTCAAATATGTTAAAATCTTTAAACAACTTCTCAATAACCAAAAGGCTCAGATTGCTGATATTGTGCCTGTGGCATGCTGGGATGAAGGGCTATCAAGTTTGTTTAAATGAATGACCTTGAACAACTTTCAAGGTCACAGGGGTCAAATATGTCAAAATCTTTAAATAACTTCTTCTCAAATACTAGAAGGCCTAGGGGGCTAATACTTGGCCAATAGCATGCTGGCATGGAGCCCTACAAAGTTTGTTCAAATGAATGACCTTGGCCCACTTTCAAGGTCACAGGGGTCAAATATGTTAAAATATACAAAGGACTACATCTCAATAAGCAAAAGTCTATGAGTGCCGATATTGGGTCTGTAGCATGCTGGGAGGAAAGGCTACCAAGTTTATTCAAATGAATGACCTCAACCCACTTTCAAGGTCACAGGGGTCAAATATGTTAAAATATACAAACGACTTCTTCTCAACAAGCAAAAGTCCATGAGTGCTGATATTGGGCCTGTAAGATGCTTGGAGGAGAGGCTACCAAGTTTGTTCAAATGAATGACCTCAACCCACTTTCTAGGTTTGGCTTGCTTTTTGTCAGATGACGGTTAAGGCCCATGGGCCTCTTGTTTTGTTAGTAGTAGGCTGTGTAGTGAAAGTAGGAGGCTGGCCTGCCGTGTACGTGTAGTCGTATCCCAAAACATTTTTCAACTGAAATACACTGTCGGTGTCCAGCATACCAATGTCCCAATCACTGTGATGATCTGCCTGCTGCATGTATAAGTTTATTTGTTGCAATGCTGGCAATTGTGAATTTAATGACCAAGTTTGTTACGTTTGGCAGACAAAGCTGATGAAGAAACGTCAGAAAAAGGCTCATATCATGGAGATCCAGGTGAATGGAGGCACCATTGCACAGAAAGTGGACTGGGCAAGGGAGAAGATGGAATCTTCTGTTCCTGTTGGATCTGTATTTGCCATGGATGAAAATATTGATATCATTGGTGTAACCAAGGGTAAAGGAGTCAAAGGTGAGGAAAAAAAGTCCGAACTTCATCTTGATTTTTTTTCTTGTCAATTCAGAAAACAGCATCAATATTTCATTCCTGCAAATGCTAATCAAAGATGATGGCACATTTGTACAAATACAGAATAGTAGACCAATTTTTACCTATCAAATTATGAATGGTGTTTTGCATGTTTGACCCTGTCACAAGTCCAATAATGTACCCCGAGTGAACAACCTTGCATTGATGTGTGATGAAAAGCATGGTTATGCTCCAGCCAGAGCATGCTGACCTTTGTATGGAGAAACACTCCATGCTGCCTTCCTTCTGATAACATTGCTTGGTATTTTTTTTTTTTTTTTTTAAAGCTTTACCAAAATTTCCATGGTGACATTGATATGTATACCAGTACAAATAGTGCTCTGGTTAGGAAATGAATAACAAATTTTACATAATTGCCTGCTTGACAACTAGCAATTGAAAAATAACTGATAAAAATAGAATGATGACCTCCCAGTTTGTAGATGTTTGTTTTTAACCTGCAGTAAAATGAGTGATGCTTTCTCTTCCTCTGACACCTAAATGTCATCTTTGATAAAGATCAATAAAATCGGAAATAATGGCACGCTTCTCCTCTGAATATTTTGTAACACCTATTGCAAGGAAATTAAAGTTTCATTTGGAATGAGTTTATTTATCTGCTGTTTTTTTTGCTTAACCTTGAGTGAACAATCTTGCATTGATGTGTGATGAAAAGCATGGTTATGCTCCAGCCAGAGCATGCTGACCTGTGTATGGAGAAACACTCCATGCTGCCTTCCTTCTGATAACAATGCTGAAAACTACATAAAGTATTATGCAAAGATTTATATTTTGCATTTATACTATATTATTGGGGGAGGGTATTAAATAATCTTACTTTTTCACATATTTTAGGATATCGGTTACTGACATTAAAAGAATAGGGGATAAATGGTTGGATTACTTGTCAAAAAATAAGAGTTTATTATTTATGATTACAGGTGTGACATCCAGATGGCACACAAAGAAGTTGCCCAGGAAGACGCACAAGGGTCTGAGGAAAGTTGCTTGTATTGGAGCTTGGCATCCAAGTCGTGTCCAGTTTACTGTTGCTAGGGCTGGACAGAAAGGTTACCATCATCGTACCGAGATTAACAAAAAGATCTACCGTATGGGCGAGGGTACCCACACCAAGGATGGGAAGCTAGTTAAGAACAACGCATCCACAGATTTTGATCCCTCTGAGAAGAACATCACACCAATGGGAGGATTTCCCCATTACGGAGAGGTCAACAATGACTTTGTCATGATTAAGGGTTGCACCATGGGACCTAAAAAGAGGGTTTTGACCCTGCGAAAGGTAGGTGCTTCAAAGGAATAGCAACTTTCATTGTTAATCTACTTAATTAAGGTTTTTCCAAGTTTGGAACATTGCTGTTTTTTTTGTTTTTTTTTAATTAACTTTGGATAATTTGGCATAGATTGCAAACAATGTAGTACTACAATAATTATTGTCAGAACATATAGAATAATTTAATCTTTATATATGTATTGATTTAATCTAATGAAAAAATTTGATTTTTCAGTCTCTGTTGCCCTCATTCAAGAAGAAGCAGATGGAGAAGATCAATCTGAAATTCATTGACACTTCCAGTAAATTTGGTCATGGTCGCTTCCAGACATTTGAGGAGAAGACTAACTTCATGGTATGTTAACTTGTCAGATATTTCTTAACACAAGTAAAATAGGAGATGCAATCTTGATGTGGTATAGCTGATGTGAATACGCAGCTTGCAGGGAAGTATAGCTAATGCAATATTGGTACGACGCTCTGTTGTAGATATTGTTTACAAATCAAGTTGGTTCATCATTCATTGACAGTCCACTGCTTTGCTGGAAACTTTAATTCAATGAACTATTTTTTGGGAAGGGGAGGGGGCTAGTTACTGACTGCTAGATCCAGCACACTTGAGAAAAACATGGAACTGCTACTCCAGAAGTAATATTCACATCCTGATGTCATTTTAGTGTTGCATATTAATGAAATTAGAAAAAATGGATTTTTTTTTTTTTTTTTTTTTCTTTTAAGATATTTTGGCTATGTGTTGATGGAAGTATAGTTTGAAAGAATGTTACCAATGAATTATTTTTATTTCAGGGACCCCTCAAGAAGGACCGCAAGGAAACTGCTGCTTAATTGTTTCCAACATGACGACAGTTGGACAAGACTTGTCAAGAATAAAAAAAAAAAACCTGTAATATATGTATTTAGTGTTTTGTTACTCTGGTATTCATACTCCTCGCTTCAATTGATATAGATATATGTGTAGGCTCTTCAAATGCAGATCATTAGAAGTATATTGTCTGTTGGGGAAAAAAAACAATACTTGCAATTTTACTTGGACAAGAAAGAAAATGTCCAGTTAACTTGACTGCTAGCAGCCAAAAGAATTCCTATGACTGGCATGAATTTCAAAGAAAAATTCCAAAATAATCACGTGTTATGTTTATTTCAATAGAGGGTAATTTATTTGGGTGAAATATTTTGCACTCGAACCCAGTTAATTGCAAGATGGCCGACCCGTGAAGTGCCTTGTTTGCAAAATATAAAACGGCAAAGCACTATGCAAAACTTGACATTGGTGAAGTGCACCTGATAATTTTCCGGATCTTTTCAAATAGCAATGTACAGCGGCCTTGTCCTGATCGGAGGTGTCGTGAAATGGCTAGCTTCCTAATACAAGTTAACTTGCACTAAAAGTTTGATGCATTTGCACCTGTTACTTGTTGTCTCATTATGACTTTGAAAGTGAATGACTGGAATCGGCAACACTGTTCCACATAGAAATGATAAGAATATTATTTCAATGCTTTATTTCGAATTTTTTATGAATTCATAAGTTGGCTCCTTTTTTTGTGGACATTATATGCCAGAAATGTGAAGTGCTCGCTTCACCTACGGATATGCGACTAGTGCGTCCTGACCCATTAGCCTGGCTGCTTAAGAGAGCGGGGTCAAAATCGCGTTGATTTTGTACAAAAAGTAATGTGGTGCAGCGGTTAAGTAAGAAAAATGTCTGCAACTACATTGAGAAAAGTGATGGAATCTGCGAGCCCTATACTCTAGAACGACTAGTTGTGAGGGGAAGGGTGATTGATATTTGACGGTTCCTGTCGTATACCATATCCTACTTATTCTACTGTGTCAAGAGTAACAACATCCGGCAAATTCATCGAGACATGATGTGGTGCACGGAAGTGAGAACACGTACGCCTTATATTTTCTATTTTTGGAAGAGTTGCTGCCCTTCATTCATAAAACCATGAAAAACAGCTTTTCAATGCGTTGAAGTTGCGTTTTTCAAATTTTCTAATCAAAATAGAATGATAACCACCTAGTTCTAGAATGCCAGTTTTAGCTCACCTTGCCCAGAGGGAATTTCAAAATCCTACTCCTGTAGGAATGATTGGATATTGCCCAAATTTCGTCTAAAGCAGTGTAAGGAGAAGGGAAATCAATTTTGTATAAACAGTGGATCTCGACCCTCAGGGGCGGGGACCAATAGAAGAAATTGGGTTTTGCCCAAGGGGTTTCTTTCCTTATCAAACTCGGTTTCCTGGTTAGCAATGTTTAACATACTGAAAAGTTTTCACGGAGTCAAAGTTCCTTAAAATCCACACACTAATCATGCAATGGAGTGAGATTCATGGTATTTTACGCTTTTCATGAGATCTCTGGTAGGGTAATGTTTAAGACATGCTTAAATCGCCAAAAAGAACACGAGTAGTTCTTGGGTCATCTACACTCCGCAGTTTCAGCGTTAGCTTGTAATTGACCAGTTTGGAAGCGATGGACTGTGAGTAACTAAAAAATGACAGGTATGGTTGGATGCTAGCTTCGACAGACTTGTGTAAAATATTACTATTCTCAATAATATCACACTCAAATCTTATTAATGTTATATGTTATATTTCAAGGTCATCTAGGCTAGTTTCCAAAGGTCTGTCTTGTTATCAGAATTTATAGTAATGGGAGTGGCTATCTAACGTTGTCGTGCATACACCGGTCAATGGTATTCAGCACACCGTAGGATTCTCTAATAGATCTACATATAAGCTTACAATAATGGTTTGCTTCAGTGCACCAAATGAACGACCATCTAATAACTTCGATATTTCGCCTGCAACATGCATGTTATAAGAGCTGTGTGGTGTTTAGGATTAACTCAATACTTTGTGATTCCAGCATAGATTTTTCAAAAAACCACGTTTGTTTATCAACCAAATGGTCTAAAAGAGTTATTTCCCCTGCTATCATCACGCCACTTAACATGTTTGTAAGTACGATGCCTATTATCTCTACACGTCTTCATACATCAGTGGGCCCATTAAAAATGTATGTTTTAACAAATCCGTAACTTTTGGTTATGACTGAGATCACCCAATTCTCATACACACTAGTATACATTCGTAAACATCACTTTTTATTGAAAACAAATTTACCTTGTTATATCCCGGTATGAAAATGTCGGAACCTAGTTTTTAAAGATGATTTTTAAAGTGGAAAGCTAGAGCTCTGCTACAGAATATTGTATGAGTATATAAGTGTGCTCATATTATATCAATATCTGTTTTCTCATCGCAACTACGATTCAATTCCAATTCAACTTCTTTCTCCATCAAAATGATATATCGAGAAATATGTTCAAAAATGATAAGATCTTATCCTCACGTTCAGGAATACACAGTTATTGTTGGGGAGAACAAAGATCATTATAGATCATCTCGTCAAATATAAACGTTTCCGTGGTATTTTAGTGTTGGAAACAAATATTTATGTAAAGTGTCTTAAAATATAGATTTAGCGGATAACATTAGGTCCGGAGTCGCACGTAAAAAATGCAGACTAGTAAGTTGAAAGAAAATAGCAGAGACTGGCATGGAAATTGACCAGATAACGCAGAGGAAGTAAAAAAAAACTAGAAAATTCAGCGATGATGAGGAAGATCTTGAGGAAGTGTTGTAAATATTAATGATGAAGTGGAGATAGAAATCAACATAAAAAAGGGTAAAGCATCAATAACATTCCGAAAATTGGGCAACATCTGTGAAAACAAATATCTAGTTATACAAGAAAAATGTAAGATCAGTTCTGCTATATGGAAAAAAAACAACTAGGAGACGGAGAGCAGGCTGTGAGGGTTTGAAAGGAAATGTTTGAGAAGGGTTTTTGAAATGAGGTGAAAGGATCGGGCCATCAACAAGAAGGTAACTGAGATGACATCAACAAGGTGGCGATATCTAGGATATGTACTGACAATGGTGGAAGATACGATGTAGTATTGGAAGAAGATACGTGAAATGGGCGCCACCTGGAAAGAGATTATATGGCAGACTTAGGAGAACATAGAGAACTGTAGAGGTAGAAGAGAAGGAGAGTGCACACGCCTGGACAGAGTCAGTGGCGTGTCCTTCTGGCCGCGTTGTGGGTACGGTAATATTCTAAAGTCAGAAACTGACGAACATGTCTTTGTCGAAGTTTTAAAGTCCAGTAGTGTTCGTCCAATCTGCAGGCAAGACATGGTTGAATATATTTCTAAATCGAAAGGTTTCGATGATTCTGTATGGTTTTTTTTATTGGCGACAATGGAGGTAGTTTACACCTGCTAAAATAGCAGGTAGCATGCGGCATTGTAAACAGTACAAAGTGGGAAAAAGGCTTATTTTTTTTAACTTCTTTTTGTATAATTCTACTAGATGAAAACATTGCGATGAAATGAAAATCGTGATACAATGCTTAAGGTTTTCGAAACTTTTTAATTGTTTCAATTAATTTCACTTTGGGTATGCAGATAAAATATAGGAATTAGTGTAGTTGGATATTACAATGGTATGTGGTCACCGACTAATGATTAACCGTTTGACCTCTATTGATACCGCTATTTGGATGAAATAGAATTAAAACACTTACCATGTTGTTTTGTGTTATTTTTCTGTTGTTTGACGGCCTGTCCACGTTATATATCTATAAGGACAACAGGAAAAGCTACCATTATAAGCTGTAATCCTATTGATGGGTTTATTTGTAGTTGTGGTGTTGATTTAAATGTTTAAATACCATTCGTTTTACTTACAATGTATATATACTATTGATAAGTATAAGGTATGGAATTTCTATGTGAAGATATGTGTACTGGGGCTGTGACGTCTCCGTTTGTTAACTAGCTTTATTGATAAAGGTGAGTGTTGATTACATCAGGTTTACACGAGTAAATCACCGGGTTACACTTCATCTACCCCTGGCAGACCTTCGAAAGAAACAGCATTTTAATTCCTCCAGGTAACGCATACAAACAGTCGACACAATCCGATTTCAATAGGAACCATTAATTGTAAGTTACAGATAGCCCAAAGGTTTCAATACACACATGTATGTTTGTAAATGTCTTATATGGAAAGTGAATCGATATATCTCATGTATAACTCGTCGTCAGACCTATCTTAGGTGTCAAGCATGCGCAGATAACCCTACGCGATCTCTATTTAATGTCTTGGCACCCGTGCAACAGTATAGACACACATTGAATGAAAGTTTGTACGTCAGTTGTGTATATGTAGGTGTTCTTGTCAAACAGCGATTAGTTGGCTTGTCAGCCCGTCAGGAGGCCACACTGTTATAATGGATTCTAAGGTATTGTGACATTAATTCTCACTCGTGGACTTACGTTGGGTATACTTTATAAGTAATCTGTTTTCTGGATAAACTTTTAAATTGATCTGTTAAAGGTCAAATAAGAAAACGTATTCAGGGAACATTATAGACTGACTCAGAATCGCACATAAAACCTGAGGCTATATTGAATTTCTACGCTTGATTTCAGGTTTACAACAGATTTTAATTATCAGTTTGTCGTTTATTGGTTCAACAGTATACATCGCCTAATATATGAATATTCCCTTCACCAGATTCACAGCACGGACCTAACCATTCTCTCCTACATTACAGACGACTGAACAACCGGTAAAGACTTTACGACAGGAAAATGGGATATAACGATTTGGTATCGTATGATTGATACTGGGGAATTCAAAACATGAGGACGACGGATTTAAGAAGGCATTAAAACATTTCTCATCATAGTCACAGATTTCGGTCTTCTGTTACAACATCTGGCGACAGATATACGGATTTTTTATCATCTATTTTAAAATAAGTGTTAATCATGGTGTTACGGGAACAGACTGTTGTCCAAGTGAGTTCATTGGTCAAAGACTTGGACAGGACGATGAAACTGAATGGCGGATTGGAGGATATTGTCCTCAGTAACAATCGTCCCTATGTTCGACGGGAAAAACCCCAATTAAACTTTGGCAACAACGACCGAGTGAAAGCATGTATAGGGAACCATTTGTTTCATGCTGTGTTTAAGTGTCGATTTAAAAAGGTGAAGCTGATGTTGGACCGCGGCTTCGATGTGAATATGAGGAACAGTTATGGTTACAGTGTACTGGTAGCTGCCCTTCATATCGACGATAACGACCACCGGGAAAAAATGTTCCGAATACTCATCAACCGTAATGCCGATCCCCTCCAGAAGGACCCAAAGCATGGCCGACACGTCCTCTGCTGGGCGTGCCTCCTTGGTCGTGTCAATGAAGTTAAGTTCTTGCTTGATAAATTCAAGGGAGATTTTGACCTTCATGACAAGGACAAAGAAGGAATGACCATCCTCCATCACGCTACGCAGGCTGGACAAGAGGAAGTGGTCTCCATGCTTGCCATTGAGTTCCGGCGCTTTGGTTTGTCTGTGGACGTTGTTGACAATCTGGGGCTTACACCCTATCTCCACGCGCGACGCCTTGGATACAGTACCATCACACGTATACTACAAGAGCAGGGCCGTGCGTGTCCTGGTCAAGGAGATATGTTTACATTCCGGAGTGGCAGGGAATGGTCATCTCTTGGTCGTGAAGAACGACACGTTCAACGGGAACAAGAGCGTTTTGGAGATTACATGAAAGCTGCAATACTTGGTCGAAGTCGAGTTATACATCGTTATCAAAATCGAGCACCCCTTATTAAGGTCACACCACCAGCTGACGAAGATGTGGTAGATAGTCGAATAAAATTTGTTGTCAAGGAAAAAATTCCAACAGGCGGCACTAAACGTGTATCGTTCGCCCCTCCCCCTGCGGAACCCAGACCGACTCATATAACTTTACCGTCGGATGTGACCCCTAGACCCAGCATGGCATTAACTATGATCGACATGACCCCTGGAAGCAAACAGGTCGATCATTTCAAAAGTAGTCATACGGAAGCAACGAAAATGGAAACTGGTCGTACTAATAACAGCCATGGCGCCACCATTGCGAATATGCTTGGCGTTCTATCGCAGCAGAACGCCTCCTCCTTCCGACCAACGGTGGTGATTCCGACGGCGGAACCGGAAGTTCCACAAACCAAACAAAAACGATCCACATTGGCCATACTTTTTGGTAAACAAAATAAGAAGAAGGTAAAATCACCACGTGGATCAGAGAAAAAGAAACAAACGAAGGAAAAGAAAACCAGTAAAACGCGTAAATAGCAAATGAAAACGAAACAGGATGTTACTGAACTTGTGTACATTCTTGTCAAGTCCGGGATGGGAATCAATGGTTTTACATTATAAAACGTGCTCGACATATAACGGCGAGAGAGGTACATTATTGAAAAGTGATACACAGAGTCGTTATTATGTATAACGTGAGTATGAACATCGCTCTCTAACATTACCTGCCAAATTGTTTACAAATCCACGCGTGATGCAGCATTTTTGTTTCCGTTTTAATAAGTGGCACGCGCTATAGGTATGGTTTATAGTCTAGTCGCAGTATTGTGATGTCACATCAGCGAGTAACCGATAACTCATTTATGTCGGTTTAGTTTATTAACAATAGATTTTAATTGGGTTTTATATGACATGTATTTATGTTGATATAAAGGTATACTAAACCTTAAACTTGAGTTTACTTGTTGTATTTGTCAGATTTTTAAATGGGTCTTTATAACATATTTTTAAAAGTGTTTCGGAATAGGTTCCCACACATGTACTATAGCCTAAAATAAATACAAAACTCGACGGCGAAAGGAGACCAAATAAGATGGCTGCTAACCACTGTTATTATAAACATTGATGATGAAAGTGAAAATATGGTAGACATTGTATTGCCAAACATTATGTACACAGTCACGCTTAAAACAGATTCAATCCCGTCTGTTTATTGTAAACACCAGAGACAAATGAGGGCGACATCAAAGTCAAGCTTTTAACGTAACTTTATAACAATAATCCCAGACTCCAACACGACGCTGAGTTAACCAAAACACTGCACTCGTAGATCAAAATAACATTCGAGTCAACGAAAAATACTAGTTACACCCCAAAATAAAACGATTCTTGAGTCAATCAAAGCCAAGGGCCAAACTCCAACAAGACGCTTGAGTCAAACAAAACACCAGAGTCAAGACCTAATACGACACTCGAATCAACCAACACCTGAGAAAATACACGTTATAACCAAATCACTTAATGGACGTGTGTTGGTTTGGTGATTTGGTAATAATATTACATTGCAACTGTAATCCAAAACAGCAATCTTGCGCTAAACAAATTGACGTCAGGGTCAAATGACGTCATTAGAAGTCAAACAAGAGCATCACAATGGAGACAGGCTAAGACACAAGATCAGAGCTAAAACTTTAACCAAAAGTCATGCAACTTACGATGCTAAATAATAACAGAAATGTCAAACATAACAAAAGGCCCAAACTACAACACCAGGTGATGGTCAAATCAAACAGATGACAGATGGGTGGTCGGGTGGTCGGGTGGCCAGATGGCTCCATGGTAAAACACTCGCCTTTCACTTAGCAGTCTGGGGTTCGATTCTCGGAACGGACGTGAAAAGGTATGGGGGTCACCTGCCCGACCATGTGGGTTTCCTTGGGTATTCCGGTTTCCTCCCATAGAAAGACCCCTCGCGCGGTTCCATCTAGGCCAACAGGAGTAATTAATACAAGTTGGAAAAATTGTTTTCGCAATTCTTGTAAAGTAGATAATGTTTATTTAAGATCGATCCAAACCAAACAACAATACGACGCTAACATACAAGCCAGAACAAGGCGCCAAAGCCATACCATATAACGATACTAGAACTAACAGCAACGCGACACAGGATCCAAAACAGACCACGGACCCAGATCGAAACCTCAACACGACACCAGATCCAACTATCAACACGACACTAGAACCAAACATCATAACGACACCAGATCCAACCATCAACACGACACTAGAACCAAACATCATAACGACACCAGATCCAACCATCAACACGACACAGGAGTCAAACATCAACACGACACAGGAGTCAAACATCAACACGACACCAGATCCAACCATCAACAAGACACAGGAGTCAAACATCAACACGACACCAGATCCAACCATCAACACGACACAGAAATCAAACATCAGCACGACACCAGATCCAACCATCAACACGACACTTGAACCAAACATCATAACGACACAAAAACTCAACATCAACACGACACCAGAATTAAACATTAACATGACTCCAGAACTGAACATTAACACGACACGGGAGCCAAACATCAACACGACACCAGAACTAAACATTAACACGACACTTGAACTAAAAATTAACACGACACTTGAACCAAACATTAACACGACACCAGAACTCAACATCAACACGACACAGAACCAAAACATTAATACGACAGGGGAGTCAAACATCAACACGACACCAGAACTAAATATTAACACGACACTTGAACCAAACATCAGCACGACACCAGAACTAAACATTAACACGACACAGGAGTCAAACATCAACACGACACCAGAACTAAACATGAACACGACACCAGAACTAAACACTAATGCGACACGGGAGTCAAACATGAACACGACACCAGAACTAAACATCAACACGACACAGGAGCCAAACATCAACACGACACCAGAACTAAACATCAACACGACACAGGAGCCAAACATCAACACGACACCAGAACTAAACATTAACACGACACGGGAGCCAAACATCAACACGACACCAGAACTAAACATCAACACGACACAGGAGCCAAACATCAACACGACACCAGAACTAAACATTAACACGACACAGGAGCCAAACACCAACTTGACGTCGCCAGAACCAACACTTTTAACATGAAGTCAGAGCAAGGTTGTAAAGTTGCTATTTACAATCGTCAGCTATTATCTAGCAGTGTGTTTACTGAACGATATCAACACCCTTTAAACGGCGATATTTCTCAAACACTCAATACAAAGCCAAGAGTTGACAGACGCTACATAATATTGAACTTTATAACAATAATGTCAAAGGTTTCTCCTGTATGGTATGTCATCTTCCATTTGGTTTGGAATGAAAACTAAACAACATTATTTGTGGAAGAATGTATTGAAATGTGTGTCTAGCGTGAAAGGTGGTGCATTGAAGTAATAGAAGTTTATTGTAATGAATAAATTGTGTTGACCTTGTGTGTCGTGGCTGGTCGGTAGGATTTGAGCTTATATTTAACACAAACAAGCACTTAATCAGTCAGAAGAATTAAACCGGTGGCTTTTGTAACGCTGACCTTTATTGGGAGACCTATTCTACATGGAACGGAATCTAATATAGATTTTGAACTCATTCTAAAGAAATATTAAGCTAAAGTACTTTTTTTAATGTCCATTGTGAAGTAGCACATGCTTCTATATTGAGCATTCTAAATTCTTAAACTACTTAAACTGTTCTTAATTCATCCAGGTAAAGGATAAACGGGTAATAAGAAAATCGTCTTCCTTACAAGACGGTCGTATTAATTTTATCGGAGCTAAGCGCATAAGTTATATTGATTTTACAAATAATTTGTCTTAGAGTTTTTGGACTAAACTTTATCCCAATCCTCACAGATGCAATACTTTGCTTATTAGGAAAGATAATTCTGTCTTTGTCTTTGTTTCTATTTAGTTTATTACACCATGAACAGACAATGTCATCTTGCGGTGGAAAATGCTTGTGATAGCTGGTGGCTACCTCACAGAACAACATGCGAGAGGACCATGCCATTCTATCCAGAGCGATTCAGGTAAATGGTTTTGTTCGCAGACACGATCACGTTGGCACAGACTGACCTCTTTCACGGCTTCCGAGAAATACTAACCCTCCTGGATAAAGCGAGTGTCGAATCAAGTGCCTCGGATCTTCACCGATGGTTACGTAGGCCATTGTTCTACCGACAGAGCTTTGTCATGTCGTACACTGATGGTTCAATAATCGCGAAGATACAATAACTGGTAAAGTGTTATGATATGATGCATATATATTGAGCATGTTGATTTATTTGTGAGATTTGTTTTTTGAACTTTGTTCATTTTGCGTTTTGAAGGAAGTATCCTATTTGATTAATTGTTCAATAAATTTACATCATTGAATTATTATTTTAAACAGAATGTACTTTTCATAAAGGAATTAAGTTTTCAGTCTATTGTGTTTATAGTGGTATGAACGCAATTGAGTAAATACACAATCAGTTTACGTCAATAACGGCCAGTGTTGGTCGTTTCCGGGAACGCTGCGTATTTGAAATAAGAAATTCGGCTGACTTCAACTCCGTTCATTTAGCAGAACATGTTATAAGTACTTCGGACAATTGGTTGACCACATGTGACCACAGGTGATCCAGGTGACCTCAGATGATGTAGGTTATAGATGTGACGGTTTAGTTTACGTTTTCACCTGATGTAAAGACCATTCAAGTTAAGAGGATTGTGGATAAGGAATATAAAATAGTTTACTTTGGAATTAGAGACTTAGTTTTGTGTAATCCTACATTGGCCTTAACAGGTAAACAGTGCAAAAGCTGGACATAGGAAATTCATACTCAGATAAATAATACTATGTAGGTGGACCCGGCGGGAATGACACAATTTCTGTCAATATCTCATAACCGATTATTTGAAATAACCATGCAGAAATCATACAGATTTAAATTGACTGACCTGTATTACGTAGAGACCTGTATTCAAGTGCTTTTGGTCGGGTGGTGCAGTAGTAACGCAATCGCCTTTCATCTAGCCGACCGGGGTTCGATTCTCGGAACGGACGTGGAAAGGTAAGGGGTCACCTGCCCGACAACGTGGATTTTCCCCGGGTACTCCGCTTTCCTCTCACAATAAGACCCCTTACATACGCGCCAACAAGAATGGTTAGTATAAGTTGAAATAACTTGTTTCGCAATTGTTGTAAACTAAATAAAGTTTATATAAGTGCGTCAAACATAAATTTATAAATAAACATGGTGTTAAAGATATTTCCTGAACTGGGAGTGGGTGTTATAGGGATTGTCTGAACCTCTCTTGAATGGATGTTATAGATATTGTTTGAACTAGGGGTGAGTGTTATATATATTGTTTGAACTAGGGGTGAGTGTTATAGATATTTTTTGAACTAGGGATGGGTGTGATAGGGATTGTCTGAACCTCTCTGGAATGGATGTTATAGATATTGTTTGAACTAGGGATGAGTGTTATAGGGATTGTCTGAACCACTCTGGAGTGGATGTTATAGATATTGTTTGAACTAGGGGTTGGTGTGACAGGTATTGTCTGAACCACTCGGGAGTGGATATTATAGATATTGTTTGAACTAGGGGTGAGTGTTATAGATATTGTTTGAGCTAGGGGTGAGTGTTATAGTTATAGGGATTGTCTGAACCACTCTGAAGTGGATATAATAGATATTGTTTGAACTAGGGGTTGATGTGACAGGTATTGTCTGAACCACTCGGGAGTGGATATTATAGATATTGTTTGAACTAGAGGTGAGTGTAATAGATATTGTTTGAACTAGGGGTGAGTGTTATAGATATTGTTTGAGCTAGGGGTGAGAATTATAGATATTTTTTTAACTAGGGATGGTATTATAGGGATTGTCTGAACCTCTCTGGAATGGATGTAATAGATATTTTCTGAACTAGTCAGTATAGGATATTACACTGTATATCTACACAGCTATACTAAGAGTAGACTGCCAATTCCAGTGTTGATGTTCTAAATATTCTGGTTTAAAATGACACGGTACATTGACAGGATTTCTGTTCCGTCGATCATGTCCCTGAATATAGCCGATCATTAAAATGTGTTTATGATTCTATCTTTGTTGTTTGTTAGCTTTCCAATGATTACAAACAGATCCATAATGGAACGAAAGCCCGGGGTAGTGGGTAGTACCACGGACTACCGACACACTAAGTGAGTTTCCATGTCGGTCGCTGACTTTTTATTGATCTTTTACGGATGACTGAGAACTAAATAACACTAATTTATGTCGCGTGAGATAGAAATTAATAAGACAGCTCAATTCTGTCCTATCGCTAAAACAAGATGAATCAAGTCATGATGAATGTAGGACTTATCGTCAACAGCATTAAATATTATAATGTTAACGTTTCTGATTTACACTTCTATACCATACGTGCCGGAACCGACGGCTATTTTATGTATAATCTTAGCCACACATTGCATCAATCTCATTAATATTCAATTTAAATAGCTAAAAACTTCGATCACCTGAACATTATACAGTCATTTTAAGATTTTGAGGCATGGTTATCGAGGACTTTATAGCTCAAAAAATAACATACTGTAAAGTCATATATTTTCGTGGAATTCAGTTTTCGTGTTTTGTTTTTTTTCATTATCTTGAGTGATGGTTACCGAGAACTTTATAGACTATATATCACATACTGTTAAGTCATGTATAAATTTTCACAGAGCTCAATTTTCGTGGTTTTTCAAAAAAGGAAAAACCCAACTTTTTTGTGGACACTTGTGGATAAATATAGGTCCATAAATCTACTTAAAATTATAAAAAAAATGATGGACAAATGAATTCGTGGATGAAGAGCACACATGAATTAAATGAAAATAAATACTCAGTGAAAAATAATGAATTTTATAGTAATCACTGACAACACTAATGTCTTCCTAGTATATGTACGTTATAAAGCTCATCTACATGTACTATATTAGCCAGTGATGTCATATCTTATATATCATGACGTTATATCTAAACAAATCACCAACCAGTGAACTCGCATTTGCTTGTGGTTCATAACAACATTGTACACCCACATATATTGTGTGATCGAACCCATATGTAATGAAACAAAGTGATCGTTTAGTTTTGTTTGCTGGGTAAATTCGTGGTTTTAGCTTCCTGATAAAGATACCACATCGAACGGGGTTACGAGAGTACACCTCGATCAATCTGCACCTTGGGTGAGTGGCTGTAATGTTCAGTGTAACATACTGTTACATCTAGCAAGTGCTGAAACTAACTACATAATTTGTTCATGTACTTATTATTAACTAATGACGTCATAAAACAATGACGTAATGTCTTCTTCAAACAATCTATCCGATTACGCTCAATGTTATATGGAATTCGATTACGTCACATCCTGTTTGCTCTTCGGGATCCGGCTACGTCATTTCTGTTGGGTTGTAGAGTATCGTTTACCAGTTACTTTTGATATCAGCTATCGCTATATCGCACGTATATAATTTTAAGACTAAACAACTGAAAGCAGTTTTTGTTGTGTCTTTTAAACAAATGTAAGTTTTAAATTAGCCTTAAAAGGACCGAATCAATTATGTCAATGTTTACCGAGGAACAAATCAGCATGTTTTCTTACTCATGTCGCTAGTGTGTATTGTACCTGGGCATGTAATATGGCGCCTTATATAGCGTGACAGGGACAAAAGCTTCAACCTTGGACATTCCGTCTGTGTACCAACAGGTACGGGCCGGCAGGTGCCGCGAACACGATGGGCGATGTATCTATCTAATCACCAAACACGTCTTTGTTCCGTTGAATATCGACTCAAAAGTCACCATTTACTGCCACCTTTACCGTATATTAAGACTAATAAAATCCAATTATTAAAACATTTTTTTACTCAGCACAAATATTTTAAATGGATAATTACAGCAGTTATAATTTTTAAATACATAACCTAGAATCATGCTATCTATTGTAGTAATGACATTTTATAGTAAGCGATAGAAAATTCTCACGCTAGGACGCCGTGATGATTTACATTCATATAGTTTAAAGGGAATACAAATTTCAAAATGGCCGAATAACAATTCTAAAAGTCCAT